AATTACCTGAAGAAGAGTATTGTTAAAGCCATCGAGAGACGGCAAATGAATTCCTAAATTTCGAGCATCCATAGGTAGAGGATCTATTGGGCATTGGCTCAATGGACCGGTTAAGATGTTGGTACCGCTGTTATGATTATGGTGTACATTTTGGTGAAAAAATGGTGTTGAAGAGGAATCCAAAGTGTACATTTGTTGGGGCAGAGTGAGTGCATTTTGTTGGAACATCTGCACATCAATCAAATATGGACCAATCACATTATTTTTATTTCAGGAATATGTATACATAAATATGCACAAACTTTGGGGGTTAGAAATTTAATTTCAACTCACATCCTTGGAGAGAAGATTCTCCATGCTGAAATCCAGGCCTGGATTGACAGAGGCCAATTTCATGGACAGAAACTAGAAACATCAAGAATAGGAAAAAAAAAATAAAAAATGATGTTAATATAAAGGCCAGAGAAATATGTTTTTTTTCTTAAACTGACAGCTTTTAAGTTTTGGTGTCTGTTTAATTTTACCTCGACTTGGCGCTGTAATGACTGAACGTAGTTAATGATCTCATCAAGCATGAGTGCTTTCCCAGTCACCTGATATCAAAAACAAATCCCATAATCCTCAATCAGTTCTCTACTACAAATAATATGAGAATAATTACAAAAAACTAACATTAGGTTAGAGGCTTAATTGCTGACACGACTCAAATTGTCTTTCAGAATCACAAATACAACATCTACGTCTGTATGATAGTCCATATGTTCAAAAACTGCAATCTTTTGTAATTACAACTACATTTTCGGGTACCCAAAAGATGTTTTTTTGCTGCAGATTGTTCAAGGCTTTTGTAATTTAACCAAAATATCATTGCAACCTGTATTGAAAAAAGTACAATTTGGTCGGACCTTATTGCAACCAGGGACAAGATCCTGGAGTAGTTTCATTCTCTCGCTAATTTTTTCACGACGGACCTAATGGAAACAAAAGATGATCAGGCGGATTAAATTTCAGTAATTTCTTGATAATCTAACTTTATAATAATAACAATAAAATCGGCACTGCTTACTCTTTCAGCTAGACTATGGCTATCAGTGGCTTGACCCCTTCTTGCTCTGACATGAATATAGTCCTTTGGTGGCTCGGGAGGTTTTTGTTTCCCCTTTTGTTTATCACTTTCGTCAGTTGACCCTGATTTTGTTGCCTCCTCCGTTTTCGCCTCAACCCTCCCACCTTGTGCTAGCTTTGAACGTTTGCCATTTTCATTTTCACCACCTTCAGCTATCTAATAATAATAATTTGTGTTTAGATGGAAACAACTTTACAATAAATAACAATTACACTATCGCGCAGTGTTTTTTCTTTTTTTTTTAGATTTTTTTTTTTTTTAAAAAAAAGAAATATGTAAGAAAGATTGTAAATGTATCATAGTTTATACAAGTCATACAATAGCATTCTAAGTATCAAATGACTACACATCTTTAATGCTCTAGGCATGAGCCAAGAAAATGTGAAGACTGGAGTTGGAATCTTCTAGCTCAATTTGATCTAATTATAGAAAGCATAAAACCAATTTGGTCCAAGCGTGCCTGCAGTTAAACTGCTACGCGAGGGTTTTATCGTGATTTAGCATTGATGATTAAAAAGGTGTAGGTATTGACTTCTGCAAACAGGCAAGTTCTATACAGTTATGGAAGAATTATTTAGGTTAAATAATGATAAGGACGAAAGTTAATTAGGAAATTTTACCTCGGCTGAATTTGATTTAATTTTCGCAGATTTTCTCTTCCTAAAACTCATCGTCTCGCTGGAGATCTTGGAACCCGTTTCTCCACTTGCGATTTGTTGAGAAACAGTGGACTCGTTGGACCCCGACAGTTTACTCAATTTATTGTCGTTTGCCGATCCGCCATTCCTGAGGGCGGAGAAGCTCGAAACACGGGATAATTTAGCATCTATCGAGGATAATGGAGAAGAACTGCTGGATCTAATCCCAAATTCGCTATTGAAGGGATCGGCGGCGAGCGGTGGCGCCAGGGCTGCCGACCTCTCGGAATTGGGGATCGGCAGATTCAGCTTGGGTGAGCTGCTGACGGAATTCGCAGTCATGCCGCAGCCGATCGCCGGCAAAGAGTTATTGGGCGGCAGGGACGAGTCTAAGAGGCTCAATTGTTCGTAGCTGAAAGACTGATCGGCGCTGCAGTTCACTTCATTCCACCGTGAAATTCCAGCGTGCATAAAGTAGTCTTTGTCCATTAAAAATTAAAAAAAAAAAAGAAAAAAGAAAAAGGAAAAAGAATCTCACTCGACTAAAAAAAGCTCAGGGAAAAAGTGAATGGCGTTTGAGAAATAATGTCCCAAAGGAAGCTGAATGTGCTTGCGACAATGTTCTTCAGAATATATATGTACAAAGAGAGAGAGAGAGAGAGAGATTATGTAAATGGGGGATGAAAGTAAAGGAAAAGACGGAATATGCGTGCTGGGGACCAAAAAGGGAAAATAGCAAGAGCATAGTAGAAAAGGGGAAGGGTAAACGAGGGTGGTGATGAAGTTATATAGCTGAAAGGCGAATAATTATTTTGACTTTTTCAATACTAACATATTAAGAAGAAACTCTTAAAATTTATAAATTAGTATTAGTATAAAGTACACTTGTGATCTACGTAGTAGTGAATGTTTTTAATCGATTATGTTTAGTAAGATAAATTAAATAATTTATTTATTATATTTTTTATTTATGTTAGGTGATTCAAGAGTGATTTTCTTTCATTTTGGTTTTGACGTTCTCATAAGACATTCATACCAGTTTAAGTCCAATACATCATTGGTATTGAAAAATTCTTCATAGTATGATTTTTATAAGGTATTTATACTAACAGTTCATGAATATCTCTGTCAAATAACTAACAGTATCGTTAAAATTGTTGATATTTTTTTCATTTTTGTATAAACTACTACATTACTCTCCATATAGAAAAATAGCTACCAACTCCATGGAGGCATCGCCCATAGGATGAGAACGAATTTCATCTCCGAATATAAGGTGACTTTCCAAAATCTTGGTTATATGTACTTCTCCCAAGACGCTAAATTATTTTATAAAATTACCACACATTACATAAAAGTATGTATTCTAAAGTAATTGCACATATGTTTGAGCACAAAACCAATGAGATTGCAGATATAGGATCAAAAGCGATAACTTTGTTCAAACATTTAAAAATATTTTGATCAGGATCCGACATTCTCTTTTCAATGCTATTTATTTAAAAGATCGACGAACTACATAATTTATTGTTTGCAAATCATTGACCATCTTGGTTGTTGCAATAATTTTAGGCTTGTATATCATATTATCTTTTACATTCATTCGGATTTGTAATATTTATGTGTCTAATAACTTCTTTACTGGAGCGGATTTACACTATGGCCAGCATGGGCAGTTGCCCAGGCTGGATTTTTGCTGCTAAACATATGTAGTTAAAATTTTCAAATAAATATTTAGGAAGAAAAGGCAAAGTTGAAAAACTTGCGAGACATAATAGAAACAATTTTAGGTTTTTTTTAAATAGTCTATATAAAACGAAGTTGAACATTATCTCTATGTTCTCTTCTATAATTAAATTTATTTACATGATAATCGAGGATGGGGCTATTGTTGGTCAAAGACAATGTAATTTGTTGTTTGTGCACATACAATCCTTTAATTTCATATTTTGTCTTCTTCTAATGCGACATATTTTAGATGTAAGGAATGGGTTATCACTAGAATTATAAAGATTTGATCAAGATATTGTCAATGTCAATGCTATGGATTTAGTCAGGGCAAGTAAGGTTGTGCTTGTTTATAAAAAAACTAGAAACAACTTTTTTTTTCGTTAACTAGAGTTTATTTGAAAAAAGTTAGTATGATTAGTTTTTAGTGGAATTTAAGAATGTATTAAAATAATATTTAAAATAAAATGATTAAAATTGATTTTGATATAAAAGTAGGAGATAAATGATTGGAAATGATAGGTAGTTAAAATTAGGTGAGTGGATGAATAATGAATTAAAGTTGATGTAATGTGTAAGAATGAATGAATGATATTATTTAATTATATTGACCGTCTCTCGTCTTTCCATAAAGCTCTTGATGTTGAGAACTCTATTTTCGTATAAGATGGGAGAGAGAAACAATTCATAAGGCAAGGACGAACTCATCATTGAAGATTACGAGAAAGAGGATCGTAGATCAACATCATAGATCAAGAAAACAAGGAAGTACTATAAGCGGGATTCTTGTAAGTTCTATATGCAATTTAATTAATGCAAAGATCCATATTCTATAAACTGTTAGAATTACATGCTTAGGGTTTATTCAATTCCGCCTAATAGTTACGAATATGCCCGTTAAATTTCTTACATGTGGTATATCGATAATTTTGAGGATAATAGAGTTCAGTTAAATTTTGAATTGAGATAGATTTTTTTCTAGTTTTTTTCAAGAAATTTGATAAACAAGCACGGCTTAAACAACTCCAAAAAATGAGAGAAAAAGAATGTGAATGGAAAAATTTCTTGCAGAAGATAAATTCGTATGTAATAAGCACGACATAAAAAATTTCAAGTACTTTTTTATTATTATTGCCCTGGCTGACAAAAATTTCTGCGTCCGCCGCTGCTTCTTTAATACTTTTATTGTCCGACTTTTGCATCATGCATAATACTTTGAAAATTTAAAATAAAGATCGTTCCTTGATTCTTAAAA